TTCACCCTTTCCGAAATACAGACGAAAATATACAAAAATTCATCAAATTTCAGGACTACATCTGTTGAGTTTGGAAACTTTACTAGCGAATAATCGATGAAAACGTTATAGCTTTGCTCAAGCCCTAAGGAAATTTTCCTTTGAGGAGCAATTTCAAGGGCAAAACCCGTCGCCTATTCAAAGGGGCTTCAGTAAAGACAACCAATAGGCTTTGGGCTTCTCATCAAAAATGCTGGCTGTTCTAAATCGCCCCAACTTCCAATATTACAGTCAGAAGAACGACGACACGTGGCTGGCCAGAGGCAACTTTAATTATCGATCGATGTAACTCCACAGAATCTTAATAAACCCCCGTCCAAGTATAGGGAAAAGCGATTTTCATGCACATTTCCCTAAGTGAAACGTGAAAACTTCCAAACGTCTTGGGCATCTGGAGCACCTCGCAATTCCTGGATAAAGTTTCCCCATTCGGTCGTCTGGGATTTGGATTAAAATTGGAGGGGCATTGAACTGGACTTAGTTGAAAAGGGCTTTTTATCCCCCCAAGGGAGAGTTTGGGGGAAACTTTTTCCATCAACTCCATAAATAGCGAAGGTTTCCTCAGCTAATTTTTTCAGAGACTGTCGTGCTTCACAGCGATTTGTTGCGGGGTTTCGTGTGCAAAAATGTCCAATAAATCTGGCCTGTGGGGAGGTCAAGGCAACAGGTCACCTATCCAGGGAAAAAACCCTCCAACTTACCAAAGAAACAAAAACACCGCCACAGCTATAAACCGTTTAGAGACCCGGGAGAAATCCAACAGGTAAAATGCGCGAGATTGGGGAAAAACTTTCGGAAACTTCACGAGTTTCGATCAAGTTCTCGGCCGTTTTGGGGCGAAAGCGTTCGTCAGCTACAGCAACAGTTAAACTGGCGTCGCGGCGGATTTTGAGCGCCTCGACGGCTGGGACTTTGACGATGTGCGCACTCAGCCTGACCCTGCCATTGGGTCAAGGTTGACCAATAAGCGATCACGTGACCACAAATGCATATTGCATGGGATTTAGGCCCGTTTTATTCACCTGCCGCTCGCTCACCTTTCCGGGAAACAACGCAGCACAGAAAATGGGAAAAAAACCCATCAAAACATTCATTAGTAAACGAACAGCCGTATTGATTGCCTTTTGCCAATCACTGGATGGATGTTAAATCGCTGAAAATTCCTGGGCCACACCCAAGAATCCGAATTGACAGGCTTTCAATCTTAGTCATGCTCTTAGTGGGGCGGAACAGCGCTTCCATCAAAACTTATAATAATTAATATCTAAGAAACGGTAGAATATTGCAGAAAAATCCTTAGAACCTTTTCGATAGAGCATCTCAAGAACCATGAAGAACCGCTCTTGTCGGGTCAAGTTTTAAGGTTTTGAATCTTGGTCATGCTCTCAGTGGTTAAAAAAATGTTCCAAAAATAAAAATGATCGTGTATTCGCGTGGTGGACGTCCTTATGAACAGTTATTTGATAAACTAGTTTAAGTCCCACCTTTGACTACGTTAAAAGAGAGGAGATTAACCTGATTTTTTCTAAGTTCTTGAAAACTTTCATTTATAACTCGGGAATGGATGCGAATCTGGAAAAACCCATAGGAACCTTTTCGAATGAGCATCTCTGAAACTCTCCAAAACCATATTTTTTGAAGCAATTTCCTTAATATTTCATATTAGTCATGCTCCCAGCTTAGTACAAAATAAACCTTTGTTTCAAACTGCTTGAGAGTTTTCAAGATTTTTTGATGGGGTCTACAAATAAAACTTTGCTTCGTGGAGTATCAGCAGTAGACTGCCCAAGCGAGATAAATTCCAAATTTGAAGAAGTTTTTATAGGTCCATTCATATCCCGAAAACGGATAAAAATATCTAAAACATTATGAGAACCTTTTCGATGGAGCATATCGAAAATTGTCTAAACTCGCGCAAATCGGAGCCAGTTTGCCGGTTTCAAAACTGGCTGAGAGCATGACCAAGTTGAAATACTAGTAAATTGGTTTTAATTGCCGCGGTTCAAGATAGCTTATGCCGTGCTCTCTCGAAAATTTACTAATGCCATTTTCCATATTCGAAACCGTTTTCGAGATACAAGTGAAAATATACAAAATATTATCAAATTTCGGTTTTTTCATTTTTGTAGGTCGGGAAATTTAAAGCAACCGTAAAAGAAACGTGCTTTAAACGACTTCAGTACAGAAATCTTGAAATCACCGAGAAATGTTCAAAAACACGACTTTTTTGCCTCGCTGAGAGCATGACAATGGTTAAAAATGGCAAATTGGCCTCAGTAGTTGCAGTTTCTAATATTTTTTGAGACGGTCTATGAAAAACGTTCTCAGAATTTTTTTGATCTTTTCTCCCTTTTCCGATATATACGCGAAAATATACAAAAATTTATCAAATTTCGAATTTTCATTTTTGCAAGCTAAAATGTATGTCACCTTTTAAACAAAACTGCCATTACAAGACTGCAGCATAGGCATATTGAAGTCATCCAGAAATGTTCAATAACACGATATTTTTGCCTCGCTGAGAGCATGACAAAGATTAAAAAATGCCAAATTCGCCTCAGCAGTTGCAGTTTCAGATATTTTTTGAGATGCTCTATGAAAAATGTTCTATACGTTTTTTTGATATTTCTTTCCTTTTCGAGTTATAGACCGAGAAGATAGAAATACTCATGCCACCTTTTAAAGAAACGTGCCAATACAAAACTTCAGCATCTGCCTCGCTCAGAGCATGACAAAGATTAAAAACTGACAAATTGGCCTCAGCAGCCATGGTTTCCGACATTTTTTGAGACGCTCTCTGAAAAACGTTCTTACATTTTTTTAATATTTTCACCCTTTTCTAAGATATAGAGAAAAATATAAAAAAATGATCAGATTTCGAACGAATCAAAACGAACAGGCGTATTGATAACATGCAGTCGATCACTGGATGGCGCATAACTCCTTAATAATTCCTGATCCACACCCAAAAATCCAAACCAGCTTTCAAACTTAGTCATGCTCTTAGCGGGGCGGAACCGCGCTTGGTTGGAAACGATTTTTTCAATCAAAACTATCATTTTAATTAATATCTCGAACACGGTAGAATATTGCCAAAAAATCCTTAGAACCTTTTCCATAGAGCATCTCAAGRCCCATGAATAACCGCTCTTGGCGGGTCAAGTTTTAAGGTTTTCAATCTTGGTCAWGCTCTCAGAGTGGTTCAAAAAAAAAAAAGTTCTAAAATTACAAATGACCGGGTAACAGCGAGGTGGACGTTCTTATGAACAGTTTTTGGATAGATTATTTTAGATGCCACCTTTGACTACGTTAAAAGAGAGGAGATTAACCTGATTTTTTGTAAGTTCTTGAAAACTTTCATTTATAACTCGGGAATGGATGAGAATCTCTAAAAACCCATAGAAACATTTTCGATTGAGCATCTCTGAGACTCTCCAAAACCATATTTTTTTAAGCAATTTACTTAATATTTAATATTAGTCATGCTCCCAGCTGAGTAAAAAATAAACGTTTGTTTCAAACTGCCTCGGAGTTACAATAAAACTTCGCTTCATAGAGTCTCAGGGTCAGACTCCCCAAGAGAAATAAATTCAAAATTTGAAGAAGTTTTTATATTTTCATTCATATCTCGGAAACGGATAAAAATACCAAAAACATTTTGAGAACCTTTTCGATGGAGCATATCGAAAACTGTCGAAACCCACGCAAATCCAGTTTGCCGGTTTCAAAACTCATCATGCATCATGGTCATGCTCACAGTGTAGTTGTAACATTGCTAATGAAACTATTTCACGTGCCATCATAGGCAACGATCAGCAATTTATCCCTGCCATTCACCCGGGTTGGACACGTTTTGTGATAAAGTCATGCTCTGAGCGAGGCAAAAAAAACTGTCAAATAGTGTAATTTTTTCAAAGCTTTTTTGGAAAAAGCTAGTTATGGATAATTTTGCAATATGGCGCTTTCTTCGCAATGTTTTCTTGTCGAAAACCTTCCGAAGACTCCCAATAGTCCAGATTCGACACCTCTCGACTTTTCATGGTAGTGGACTCTTTTGCAAACAGCGCACAAAGCCAATTGCACTGAAACGCTTTTAATGAAAAAATGTAAAACTCCGAAAACTGCTGCACCAGCAGGAATTGAAACTATTTAGTTTAGCCGGAGTTTACAGGGGCAGATAACAGAAGTGGAACAAATATCCAGAAAGTTTCAGCGCATAAATTGAGGATTTTAATCGAAACGGACTGTTTCCCAACGAAACCTTGTCCCTGGCTTAAGACTAACCAAGTAAATTACTGTTATTATTTTTTATATTCTCCCTGACGCAATTTACCTCAATAAACTGGGACACATTGTTTCATTAGTCAAACGTAATCTTCGTCGGCTTTCCAAAAGACCTCCTGATCGGGAAAATGACCATGCGAGTCTAAAAATACGCGGTAATTGAAGCTTCATGTTGAAGGCCAGAATTACACCCCCTTGGACTAGTTCAGGCTGGCTGAGGGAGTTTCATTTTCAACGTTTACCATTGGAATCGCATGTGAACGATTTGGGTTTATCGAGGCAAAGCGTTATGGAAGACATAAAATCCTCCAACATGCCGAACGCTAATGACCAACCGCAGGATCGTCGACTTGAAAAAGTCCGTTGCTAGCAGAACTCTGTGTTTGGATTTTTGCCCAATTTTCACTCTTTTAAACTGTAATTTATGGCTTGAATCGGGCGCCTCGTTGACGCCAAAATTATCCTTCCATTCGCGCATTTAAGAAACGAACTGCGTCCAGTTACTGGAAACTGTGAATTATTGAGCTCTAATGGCGATTTCCTCTTAAACCTGCCTGAGCCTGAAGCTGGGCGCTAATCGGACTTGATTTGGCGCATAAATCATGCATTTCCATTCCCGGAAATGGGATCGCTTTACAACGTCAACTATCACTGATTTCATTTTTTCTAGAGGGATTTAGGCGATAACAGTTATCTAAGATAATTGTTTTGTTTCGTATCGTGGAAATCGCTATCTGGGGAAGTGAAATGATCAATATTTTGCCTGGAAATGTGAGATTTTGTTCAATCGTCCTCATTGGTAAGTCTTTGAAATTTACCCAGCAAGAATCCAGTGTGTGCAATAAAATTTCACGACAAAACAAGAGAGAGTCTCCCCTGTCTCTGCTTTAAGCGACTTGCCAGTTAT